AACCTAACCTGACCACCAATCTGGCAAGTCCCTGCAAAATTTGTCATGCTGGCCCTTCATCTATTTTTTTTTGTATTACGGGCTAACTTGATTTTTGTATGTAGACAAGATTACTGTATCCTAGAGTTCATCTCCAACAACATGCTGTTAGCAACATTAATCCATAATATCAAAATGAAACGCCAGGCAGAGAGTGATTTTTAAATATTGTTTTAATGAAAGAAAAGAAAAAAAAAACATTCAAGAAAAAGATATTACAAAATAATCAATAAGCAACAGTGGAAAAAAAGGGATTTAGGGACTCATTCACACAGCCAGGGGGTTAGTCCATGGTTTTTTCCACCCCCCAACTGCCCACCTAAACAAGGACATGCAGCCACTCAGGGCTGTACACAAAACATCATGGCCTCATCAAAAATAAAACCCCCTGTTGTGTTCTATGGGCAGTACGATGCAGTGGTTCGACCTTTTGAGGGTTAAAACAGCCAGTGAGGAAGTGAATTATTGCCTCCCAGCCACCTGTCAACCGCCCTCAGAAATGTGTTCCACCACACATTTTCTGAGGGGCATCAAGGGCTGCTGCACATCTGAACGAGCTCTAAAGGTGGGTTTTTCTGGATCTTGATTCCTTTGTAGAATCCAATTCAATTCAGAGTAGTCCGATCTGGTCAGTCACTGGATCTCATGAACGACTCTCAGCAATCATGCAAAGTTCTGATGCAAAACTAAAATGTGTAAGTTTCCAATTGCAGGAGGTTTTTATGGAATGAGGTGTCACTGAGTCAGCCCCACCCAATGAAGAGAGTGGAGGGGTGTAATATAAAAGTTCTGAAACATTTATGATATTTCAGTTGGCACTCCCTCAATGCTAGTTTTGGAAACTGCATCGATAATTCCTGATGACCATGTTTTACAATCTGACAACCAATGTATTATTGAAAAGAATAGCGTCATGACTTGATAGATATCAAACGTGATACTGACTATTCCCCTTAAGAGATGTAATGTGTCCCTTTAGCTTTCTGTGCCTCAAAATATAAGAATGTTTGGTATCTAACTGATCATTACTTCCTATAGTATATTTTGCTTATTTGTGGTATAAATGTAGTTTTATCAAACAGAAATTTATAGATTATGTTGAGTTTGAGAAGATTCAGGTTATGTAGAGCCAGACTCCAAATGTGTATTGCTTATAAATGATTCTATGACAGCTGGTTATGAATTTTTGGCTTAATGAAGGTTTACAATTGCTAGCTGTCTGGCTTGTCAGAACTTGCTAATTACTGTTTATGTTGGGGCTTAATTAGAAGTTGTCAGGACCTGGGTCACCTGCTGGTGGCAATGTTTTTCCTGGAGCTGAAGGGTGCAGTTCCGGTGGCCACCAGTGGGTGTCTCTCTGCAGCCAGTTTATTCTAGTAATTAGGCTGCACCTGATACTAACTTCTGGGAAGGTATATAATCCTTTTCTTGATGATTGGTGCTTCAGTGTTCTACTTGTAAGGCGTGTCCCAGTGCTATTGACACACACACCGTGGCTTTACCCCGCCTATTCCCTCTTCACTGAGTTTGATTGACAGCAACAGAAGCCAATGCCTCCCCTAATGTCCGGTGAGGAGAGAGCCACTACTCTCAGGCACAATGCTGGAACAAGATTATGCTCAGGTCATTTCGGGGGGGGGGGGGGGGGCTTGGGGGCAGCTGGGAATATTTTTTTATATCTTAGGCATATAATGCACTTAGGTAAAAAAAAAAAAACCTTAAGCATTTTGAACCACTTTGTATTTTTATGTAGGAGTATTAAATTATTTCATAAAACAGCGAAGTGACTCCTTTGTGTGTTACTTTGCTATTGTTAATTTAAAGAGCAAATCAGAATTTACCATCCTCAGTGTCAGTTTAGCACAATCCTGGGATCCTCTAGCACCATCTAGCTGAATACAGGCCACTGATGGTCACTGCAAAGCTCGTGTTTTACACTTTTTTTTTCCCTGTTTCCAGGCCAATGTCCAATGAATGTACAGTCTTGTTCTTCCCCTTTGTTCAGAAATCCACAGTTAACGTTTTGTTTATCCAGCTCGTTTTGACTCGCGTTCCGTGCTCATGTCATTGCCAAGCAGTCTAGACGTAGAGTCACTCCATAGCTATTCAAGTTTAATTTCCCTCTATGCCTTGCTGTGTACCGCCCTTTTCCTCAGCTACCAGCAGAGAGATAAACCCAGACGCAAGTGTTTGAAGTCAGCCTTACATCTGGGAACATTACAGCAGTCAGGAAAGGTCTTCCTCAGCATTTGGAGAAGGTTCCAATGACCCAGGAGCTTTTTGGCCTTAGTCCTCACTCTGCAATATCCACAGGTGGTCAGGGAAAGAAACATTGGGCAATACGAGGGCACAAATGTGCTGAGCATATGTAGCTGTATAGAGGGACATGTTTCCTGAAGTCAGCCTATTTTAATTGCGACACTGTCAGTTCCAGTGATGCTAGGAGAGTAGAAATATGAAATGTCTGATTTTTTTACTTGTATTTAAAGGTATAGACCCCTGGCCTGCCTAGTTAGTCATTGGCCTGAATCAGGAACACAGCCTTCGAAGTGCATTTGCACAGGGTGCAGGGCTTCAGAGTGTGCACAGCACAGGGTGCGGGGCTCAGGAGTGTATATCAAACATTACACAGGGCTCAGGAGTATGTATCACACAGGGTGCAGGGCTGAGGAGTGAGTATAACACAGGGGGCAGGGCTTCTAGGTGTGTACAGCACAGGGTGCGGGGCTCAGGAGTGTATATCAAACATTTACACAGGGCTCAGGAGTATGTATCACACAGGGTGCAGGGCTCAGGAGTGAGTATAACACAGGGGGCAGAGCTTAGCAGTGTATAGCACACAGGGTGCAGGACTAAGGCCAGTGTACAACCAAATTTTACCTTCTTTCCCCCCCCCCAACCACCAGTACAGAGCTCCCCCAACCCTCTAGTACAGAGCTCCCCCAACCCTCTAGTACAGAGCTCCCCCAACTTTCCCACCAGCCCTCCTTTACAGAGCTCTCCCCCCCAGCCCTGCATTACAGACCTCTCCTCTCCCCCCCCCCCCAGTACAGAGCTTCCCCTCCAACACTCCAGTACATAGCCCGCCCAACCCCCCAGTACAGACCTCTTCACAGAACTCCCTACCCCAATCTGTCTGACTATCTCCTAATCCATCCACCTTTAAATGATCCCTGAAAATCCTTCTCTTTAAAGAAGCCTATGCTGCTTCTACCAAATACACTGTGTTTTTACTTTCTCTATCGGCTCATCCCCACAGCTATTACCTTTTTGTATCTCTTGACCCTCTTTCTTAGATTCTAAACTCTGAGCAGGGCCCTCTGATTCCTCCTGTACCAAACTGTATTGTAACTGTAATGTCGGCCTTCATTTCGTAAAGCACTGTGCAAACTGTTGGCGCTATGTTTATTCATTTATTATTTATTACAGGTACTTATATAGCGCCGTCAATTTACGCAGCGCTTTACATATATATTGTACATTCACATCAGTCCCTAACCCTCAAGGGGCGTACAAGCTAAGGTCCCTCACATTCATACATACACATACTAGGGCCAATTTAGACAGGATCCAATTAACCTACCAGCATGTCTTTGGAGTGTGGAAGGAAACCGGAGTACCCGAAGGAAACCCACGCAGGCACAGGGACAACATGCAAACTCCAGGCAGGACGTGCCATGGCTGGGATTCGAACCAACGACCCTAGTACTGCCAGGCGGAAGTGCTATATGAATTGTGTATTATATTAATAATGATCATAAACTTGCGAGGTAAAAATCCACCAGTTTATCCAACTAGTAGATTGTCAGCCATCTACCAATAGTACTTCAGGTGTCTCTGAACATGAAATCGACTGCAAATTTGTGAAATCTACTAAAAGAACAGGAAGGAGGGGAGGGGGAGAGAAGAGAGGAAGATGGGGACAGTTCATTCATAGAACAGTGCTCAGTGTTTACAGGCTGGGATCTGAAGGCTCAGGTAACATCATCATTCATGCAAACAGGATGTAGCTTCCAGCTGCTGTACTTCATATATCCATCCCACATCCCCTTTCTGAGGCACAGCACTGGCCATGTAGAGGGATGTGGGTGGGGAAGACAAGAGGAGAGGGGCGGGAGCATTTAGAGCAGATTGAGTCCTCTCCTCTCCTGTCTATGCAGAGGAGGTGGGGGGCTTGCAGCCTGGAGTCTGTGAGACACTGAAACTTGACAGATGTAGCCAGCCGCTCCTATAGAGTGCTTCCCCTGATGAACAGTTTGGCAACACTGCCTGGGCACAACATCCATAAGGGTTTGCCTGGGGGGTTGGTGAAACCAAAATCTGGGGGGTGCAGCCCACCCCAGCACCTCCCTAGATGATGAGCACCAAACACAAGTGAAGCCTTAAGTGTAAATGGGGTCTAATTAAACATAATATCTGTTTGTGATTCTATGGGTCATTTCTCTGGGCTTCATGTCTAATGGACATATTTTTCATAGAAAAAATTTTTTGTGAATTTTTTTTACAAGGTAGGTTGCCAGGTCTTTCCCCAACCCTCTCCATTTCCATAGACACAACATGCAGAATGTGATAGTACATGTGCATAGCCAATTTGTGCACACATACCAGGGCCAACTTGGACAGGAGCCCATTAACCTACCAGCATCTCTTTAGAATGAGAAGGGAAATCGAAGTAAACCCACACACATTCCATGCAAATAGTGACCTGACCTAGATTTAAACCGAGGACCCCTTCTACCTGTTTAAAAAAATAAAAATAAAGGACCCCAGTGCTGCAAGAGCATAAGGGCTAATCACTAAGCCGCTGGGCTGACCCCAACACTAAGTGCCTACCTTCTATACCTGCAGTTGTTTTTTGGTCTCTAATGTATTGGTGTGTAATGAAGACTCACAATACATATGGATTCTCTTCTTTATTTAGAACCACAATAAAGGCTGGTTGGCATTATATTTCCAGCCAATTATATAATACAGGCAGCCCGATAGTCAGCACAACAGTCACTGTAGGAGGTGCATGATGCATTACAGTTACATGGAAATGTCTTCCCGCTGGCACCACAGCGCCCCACACAGGATGAGAAATCTACCCCCGCACAGTCACAGACTCCATTCAGGGAAAGTCCTCCGCTTATCCCAAGTTCAGAGCCGAGCCCGTACTTCTGGCCATCGTATGATGCTGTGAAAAGGAGGAAGCATCAATCAGCATAATGGAAACATTTGTATAACATGCTAAGGGAAGATGTGTGCAAATTGATAATTCTGAGTCTAAATGTTCTTTGAAGAGTAAATCCGGGCTCTGGCAGTCTGTGAGATCCATGCAGTAGAAGAGTGAATTGAGAAAAGGTTATAGGGAACCAGTGGAGCCATCAACCTGTATAGGCAAACCTTAAAGTGACCCATTCAGGGCAAAGTGACAATGTGAAAAGGACCATCAACTTCCCGACCCGTGATCACTTCTCCAGCTCTCCCCGGATGCTCCTTCCTCTACATCAGCTGGTGCAGGTAGAGATTCCCTGGCCAGCCGCTGAATGTAAACAAAGGCTCTGGGATACTGGCTGATGTCATTGCCCAAATTGGACAATGACCATTCAAGACACCACCTGCCTGGAGTTTGCATGTTCTCTCTGTGCGTGCGTGGGTTTCCTCCGGGTACTGGTACTGGTACCCAGGATGCTGGTAGGTTAATTGGCTCCTGTCTAAATTGGCCCTAGTATGTGTATGTACTGTATGAATGTGAGTTAGGGACCTTAGACTGTACACCCCTTGAGGGTTAGGGACTGATGTGAATGTACAATATATATGTAAAAGTGCTGCGTAAATTGACAGCACTATAGAAGTGCTATAAATTAAGGTACCTGTTTCTGACAGGTACGTTAGTTTCATGTAGGCATCGACAGTTGTGATTGACATTTGTTTGACGGAAGAATGATCTCATTCTAAAGTGTGTCTTTGGCGCTCTGAGTGATTTCAGGGGCATGTCTATTGGGAGAAATAGTGAAAATCACTAGACTAGGCTCTCTCAGGGTCAGGGGCGGACTGACCATTTGGAAACTTGGGCACTGCCCGAGGGCCCGGGGTTAGTAGGGGGCCCCATGAGATGCCCCTGGTACCTTTTTCATAGGCTTTTTTGAGTTTGGGCCTCATGATCCCCTTTTGCCCGGGGGCCCCATGAGTTGTCAGTCCGCCCCTGCTCTGGGTACCTACCCATATACCTTTTTTTCCTGGCCATCAGTTTTCAGAACAGACCCTTCCGCAACAAGTCTCATTTCAGCTTACCTCTACTATCTAATCGAATATGAAGAAATTCAACACAAGAGATATTTCACTTTCATTTTCATGAACACATACCTGAAATAAGCAGTGCTTTAAAACATTTGCCTGGAGTTCTGTAATTTAAACTAATTTTGGCTGCTGTGGTTTTAAATTACTGTAATTGCGTTAACCGATCTAATTACATGTTGATTAAACATGTTGGGAATAAATATAAGCTTTGATTTAATTAGGGAGAAAAGTCAAACTTTTCCCATGGCATAAAATCTATATTTTTTTGTACAGCATATTTTGCCAGAGGATCGTCATGTTAAAAGTTGCATGTATGAAAAGGGCATCTTTTGGTTGTCTAGTTCTAGTAAATGGTACAGCAGTGGTGGGGATATAGAATGCCAGTACAGTGTGTCCAGGGGTTTGCACTGCCGATCCTTTAAAAGCGTGAGTCTGCACCATGCCCTACGATGGCAGGGCAGTTAGGGGCAGCATGCAACCAATTACTGACTCTTACAAACACATTTCTATATACACTATATTGGCAAAAGCATTGGTCCGCCTGCCTTTACATGCACATGAACTTTAATGGCATCCCAGTCTTAGTCCTTAGGGTTCAATATTGAGTTGGCCTGCCCTTTGCAGCTATAACAGCTTCTACTCTTCGGGGAAGGCCGTCCACAAGGTTTAGGAATGTGTTTATGGAAATGTTTGACTATTCTTCCAGATGCGCATTTATGAGGTCAGGTACTGATGTCAGACGAGAAGGCCTGGCTTGCAGTCTCTGCTCTAATTCATCCTAAAGGTGTTCTATCAGGTTGAGGTCAGGACTCTGTGCAGGCCAGTCAAGTTCCTCCACCTCAAACTCGCTCATCCATGTATGTATGGACCTTGCTTTGTGCATTGATGTGCATGACTGTTGGAACAGGAAGGGGCCATCCCCAAACTCTTCCCACAAAGTTGGGAGCATGAAATTATCTAAAATGTCTTGGTATGCTGACGCCTTAAAAGTTCCCTTCACTGGAGCTAAGAAGCCAAGTCCAATCCCTAAAAAACAACCCCACACCATAATCCCCCCTCTACCAAACTTTACACTTGGCACAATGCAGTCAGGCAAGTACCGTCCTCCTGGCAACCACCAAACCCAGACACATCCATCGGATTGCCAGACAGAGAAGCGTGATTCATCATTCCAGAGAACACGTCTCCATTGCTCTAGAGTCCAGTAGAGGCATGCTTTACACCACTGCATCAGACGTTTTGCATTGCACTTGGTGATGTAAGGCTTGGATGCAGCTGCTCAGCCATGGAAACCTATGAGGTTTGGAGGTCTTTAGCTATTGACTCTGCAGACAGTTGGCGACTTCTGCGCACTGTGCGCTTCAGCATGCGCTGACTCCGCTATGTCATGTTACGTGGCCTACCACTTGGTGGCTGAGTTGCTGTTGTTCCCAGTTGCTTTCACTTTGTTATAATCCCACTAACAGTTGACCGTGGAATATTTAGTAGCCAGGAAATGTCACGGATGGACTTATTGCACAGGTGGCAACCAATCACGGTACCACGCTTGGAGTCACTGAGCTCCTGAGAGCGACCCATTCTTTCACAAATGTTTGTAGAAGCAGTCTGCATGCCTAGAAATTATACACCTGTGGCCATGGAGGTGATTCGAACACCTGAATTCAAAGATTCGGATGGGTGTCCCGATACGTTTTATGGCAATACAGTGTGTGGACACACATATATATATATATATATATATATATATATATATATATTAGTGTTATGATCATTATTATTGTTACTACAACTTTTTTTAGAAGTTTAAAATATTGACTGAGGCCCTTAGCTCTGAGACAATGAACAAGACTGGTTAGCTACTGAGGATAGAATTGTTAACTGGAAACTAAGTATAAATAGTTAATTCCCTGCACTGATGCCCCTCTCTACCCTGACAACTTCTGTCCTCAGCTGTGCTCCCTAGTAATGTACTGACTAATGCTGACAGCAATCCTCCTATCTGTCCTTAATTTAGACATATATTATGTTAAGATAAATGACAGTACGGAGGTCACTGGGAGCGCCCATCAAAATTTGGTTATAGGGCCCCATGATCTATAGTTCTGCCTCTGCTAACATTTCTTTTCACATTTGGCCTATGCACAAAATACCATACTGCTAACAGATTAGGGCGTCAGATTTCTACTCTCCTAGTTTTCAGTGTTAGGTGCACTGACACGAGTGGGAAAATTGTCTTTTTCGGCCTCCAGGCTTGGTGTCTCCTGTGTGGCTGACATCTGAATTTGTTAGTATAATCCTTAGGCTAGCCAGTTGAAGTACAAATCCAGCCTTGAATGCAAGAGATTGGGTATATGCACATGTAGACAGGTTAGTCTGCTTCCTCCACTGTAGGTGGCGTTCGTCCGGAGTGGTACTGCACTTGGAGAGGAAGTTAAGAGCAACCTGGTTTCTCTATGGCCTCCTGGAGCTGTGCTCCGATTGGCTACACTGCATCCAGGTGACCTCTGGTGGCCATCTTGGGTCAACAGAGCCTTTTTAGGTCCCTGCTCCTAGGCTTTTTCGCATTTTGCATAGTGGAAAGTGAAGGGAAAGAGAACCTTTCTGATAGGGAAAGTGTTTAGCGAGTGGGAGAAGTTCCAGACAAGTAGGGATACACCACTCTTTTTGCAAGTCTTGCCATTGGGACTGGATTGGCCAGACCACATTCCACCCTCTGAGACAGATGCTGTTGGCGCACCTGAATGTGACACTATACTGCACCTAACCACACTTGGTAGCAAGGATATGTCCTTTGCAGCAGGTGTGGAGGGAGGAATAGGCTCCATCCTGGTTCTGCTAAGATCAGCCTTGGCCCTGATGCCTAAGATTAATGGCTCAAATAATCCCTTGGCTAAATGGGAGGAAAGGTTAGAGAGGACTGTGCACCTATATCAGGTCCCGACCTGATCGCGGAGCTGGGTATTAACGCTGTAGAGCAGGGGTGTCCAACCTGCGGCCCAAGACAGCTAATAAAAGCAGTCCAGTACAAAATTGGAAATGTACGGTACCTAAAAATGTTGATTTTTTTTTTTTTTTTTTTTTTTTTTTTTTTTTTGGGGGGGGGGGGGGGGAGATTTTTTGTAAAAATGCATTTACACTTAGTGAACACCTGCGAGTGGAAAAAAATTTGACAATGTCTTTTTTTCCAGATATTTCTGCGTTAGTTTTTCAAAAACATATCACATATCGCATAGGTTTTTATGTTGCCCTCTTTTACTTTTATAATAAAAAATATAAAAAAAAATTTGAAGTTTTATTACTCAGGTACATTATTTGTGGTTGTTAACTTGTGATCTGCCCGACTTTTCCTGCTCATCAGCTATCCTTATTGCTAGTGTATTTTATGTGCGGCCCAAGACAATTCCTCTTCTTCCAATGTGGTCCAGAAAAGTCAAAAGGTTAGACACCACTGCCCTAGAGGATGACACCTGCCAATCGGTTATGGCACAGCTGGAGGAGGAGCGAGCTAAATTGGAACAGATTGTGTCACACCTGGATTAGAGAAAAGGTACCGGTCCCGGAGTTGAGGTGGAGATTCTTTGTTTGGAAACAGCAGGAGGATGAGAATCTTACTAATTATGCGGTAGCAAAGCAATGTCTGGAGGTGCCTGGAAAAGAGGGATGTGAACGGCTGTGCTGACATTACCACATCATATCACATGTTGAAGGACCAGTTCATAGTGGGTATGAAAGCTGGCCCAGTCCGGAGAGCCCTGCAAGAAATAATCAGGTCGCAACCAACCTGCTATGATAAGGTGGTGGACGTGGTTGTGCAGGAATAGGAAAAGGCAGAAGCAATGCTGGCAGTGATCAAAAAGTATGAACCGCTGTACCTGCAGGAGCAGGCTTTGGCAT